AAGGAGGGACAGATCGAATGAATCTGCCGCCGCCACTCTCTCAATATTTATAGTTTATATTCACTAAATGTAGGAAAGGACAGAATTGCCCTTAATGCTTACATGGCAAATAAAACAAATAAATAACTGAGATAACAAGCTGTCTAAGATAACTACCAACTAACACTGACAAACTAATCAAAGGTTATATGTGCTGTCATACGAACACAGTGGGGCCCATAGCCGTGGGGCCCACATCAGTGTTATCTACACTAAAGATGTAAACTGTTGTTTTGTCACTGGTTTATGTTTTTTCGTTTCACAGTGCAGTTTTCGTGCACCATATATTTTGCGTAGAAAAATAGCAAGGTTATTGTGTTGTAATGAATAAGAGCAGTTATTATCGTTATTCATTTGTTTTTGATGAATAATAGGCGCCATCTTTATTTATCTATTTAACTTAATGAGATTCTACAAATAGAGGCAAGGCATAATCTCTGTCTGTGCATCACAATAGTAGTTCTCTTGTGTTTGGATTGGTTGCTTATAAAGGTGCCATTGCATAGCTACTTCTTGCACATGGGCTACTATGCTTCAATTTTTTTTTTTTTTTTATGTAAACAACTACTACTGTTTGTTTTTACTTCTTTTGATTCTTCTATTATTTTCTTTTTGCTTCTATCAGAACCTGTTAAATGACTTCTTTGCCTTTTTCTGTTTCAGCTTTCATCCAAATGTGATAGTAGGTTATTCCGAATTCGTTTCGATTCACCTAAGACTGGGGACTTCCCATTTCTTCAAGCATACTCCTGTCCAATACGCTGCATATCAAGGAATCGTAATACTCGAACATCTTCAATGCCATTGAAGAAGTCAATTTCTGTAGGCCATCCGCTTGATGGGCCTCAGTCATCTGGAGTGGATGATGGATCCATAGAAACGCAACAAAATAATGGAGAAGGGCTCTTCTCAGTATTTTCTATGCGTGAACCAAAGTCCAGTCCACCCCCAAAACGCATTAAAGTTGGATCTGAAAAGTCATCTGCAAGAATCCAGGCTTGCCCCATTTCAGATTGTCCTGATATTGGCTACAAAGCTCATTCATTTTCTACTAACCAGGTATTTGATGAGCCATTCTCTTTATAGAATAGTGTTTCTTTTCTTTTTCCTTCTACTTCCTGCAACAATCAAAGACATACCCCATTTGATTCTGGGATGTTCAATTTCAAAACACTCTATTAGGTGAACATAACCTTTTGCTCAAAATGCCATAGTGATAGGCTGATAGCTACTTATTTTCACACCATTAGGAAGTTGACAGTTGACACTATGCATAATGGTTCCTCTGGATTATCTTCCAACTTCCAGCTGTGCCAGCAGCTGCTTCCAGGAATGTTGGCCTCATTTCGGGAAGCTGTCTATATGTTTGTTTTGTTTTTTCCAGCTCTAGTGGATCAAAGGAAAGTTCAGTTATTAACATTTTAGCAAACTGGCCAAGAGAAAGGTTGAACCAGTTTTCAAAAGTATCAGCTCAAAATTCTTTGATTCCTTATCTTATTGGCCTTTCTGAGATGTCTTTCCTGGAGGGACAATTGAAATCCATTTCATCAATAATTCCCTCAATGGCCCAACACCAAAGAGATGAAATTTAATTTTCCCACTCCATGTAAAGGAGGGGACTGTATCTTCACATGATTGTCTTCTAGTGGAGGATCTATAGACCACAAATTATGCTTTTATAACATAACCCATAGGAAATTCTTCAAACTCTTCCCTTGTAAACAGTCCAAAAAAGAAATCTTGTGCACCTCCACATGTTTTTTTCCTCTTTATGTTGAAGGAGAAAAGAATGCCATAGGAAAAAGCATTGAGATAGCAATTGGGTTAGCTAAACAAGGGGTTTATAGGGACTCTTTGTTTTGGGCTATATTGTAACTGTCTTTTTGTTTTGTTATTCTGTATGGTGAGATAAGAGTGTTTATCTCCCTTATACTCTTGTACCTGTGTTTTTTTGTCTCTTTTTTAATAAAATCTGCGAGTTATTTATAAAAAAAAATCAAATAGAGACAATAAGTATTGCATAAAAGGCACATATGGGGTGATAGGCAACAAGATAGACTTCTACTTTAGTACTCATCATTGGTCATAAACTCACAATCTTTATATGAAAAACCTCCAAAGTAATAAAAAAAAAAATACAAAATACCACCCAGGAGAAAGCATCCCATGAGGATCAACAAGCTAATACCCTTTTATCCTATCTAATCAATTATGAAATGAACCAGACAGACAATCCAAAAGATTAGTAGCATCTTGTACTTCATGATGTTGTAGACCGTTAGAAAACTCAAACTTGCAAGAAAACACCGAATAGGACCAAGAATTGCAAAAATCAATAAGAAAAGCAGGAAACAAGACACTTGAGTGGAGCCTCCCCAGAAAAGGTTCTTCCAGAATGCTTTTAAGGAAAGGAAGTTAGAGCCTGCCCTCTTCCTAAGGAAATCTCTACAACCATTTCCCTAATAATTCAGTGTTTTGTAATTCAAATGCCTAGTTCTTAACTCACCTGTCTTCATGTTAAGACAAACCGTTCTCTAATTAATCAAGCGATCCTTTTCTGTTCACCCAACTCCAAAAGAAAGTCTTAATGATCTTTTCAACTTTCTTTACCTTCTTCATTGGGGCCCAAAACCAAGAAAAAATTATACATCTAAAATTAAAAATAAAAAAGTATACATCTAAAATCGGAAAAAGTATGCTCAATCAAATAATCAAATTTACTCTCCCAACCAAAGAGATACTATTCCTTTAATAGAGTAAAAGCTTATTGTATCCAAAATTACATTGTACTTGGTTTACCATTTAATGGGAAACCAAAGCTCATTGGTAGAGAAGAAATTTCATGGCTCAAAATTTTAGCAAAATCTCCTGTTCCCAATCTTCCGTATTAATTCCTACCATATAACATTTATCGAATTAACTTTAAGGCTATGAACCTAAAAAAAAAAAGAATAGTTACCTTCATCTTTGAATACCAATTGCTTCATCCTCTTTGCAAGAAATGATACTATTATCTGCAAATTGGAGATCAAAAACAATTACCATCACCTCCACCCACCTTAAAACCTATTAAGTACTAACAAGTCACCTGATAATATCTACTTACTAATCTGTTTACATCATCGGTCAATAAAAGTGAATAAAAAAGAGAAAAGGGATCACCCTGCCTAAGATCTCTTTTAATCAGGAAAATCATGAACTGAGCCATTAATCAAGATTGGGGAATGAGCATATAATTTAAACACTCTTAAATCCATCTCCATGCCCAAGTTGGATCATAACCTAGTCCAAGAAAAAGAAATCAGCATATCAGATTATTTTTCAAAATCTAATTTATAGATCAATCCTTTCTTCCCATCCTCTTTGAGCTTTCCAGTTTTTCATTTGCAATGAGGGTTTGAAATCAGTTTGTCTTTCCCTTAACAAAACTCCTTTGATAAGAGGAAATGAATGAATCTAGCAGTGCCCTTATCCTTAAAGAAAGCATTTTTGGTAGCACTTCTTAAACACTGCCCACAAGACTAATAAGATGATAATCTCTTGATATTGAGCTATAGAGATGGTATTTGCGTGCTTATTGAATTTTCTCTCGCATGGATTTCCTTCTACACCTCCATCAAGCCTCTTTATTGAATTTTCCTCTCATAGGCTCAAGCTCTTCTTCATTCTCTTATCATTGAAAGTGGTTTTACAGAACACAGATAAACATGATAGTAATAATATCTGAGCATGCCATATTTTGGCCTGCTCTTCCTATTTGATTTGTGTTCTCTGATCTCTATTTTTATGTTTATGCATTTTCTATTGTATCTCACTAGTTGACCCTTAGACAGGGTGACAATGCCTTTGGGATGACGCTTGAGGAGAAACATGAAAATCTTGAAGGAACAGATGACACCCCCTCTGATTCTGAAAGTGTTCAAGCAAGAAATTCAGCTTTCAGGAGGGTTGTGAATACCAGAAATCAAATTTCAGACATGACCATTTTCAAATATTGCTTAGGAGGAATGAGTGAGCGAGCTCTACTTCTCAAGGAGGTTGCATCCACTGCTACAGACCAAGAACTAGCAGACTTTGCACAGCAGGTTTCCCTATACACAGGATGTTCCCACCACCAGTAAGCTGAAAGAATATATAGTAACCTTGGTAGTTTTAATATGTTAGCTACTTATATCCACTTAAATAATTCTTGCATATATTAGCTGAATGTAGGAATGGCAGAGTACATTACCCACAAGCAGAGGGAGTTTACATGTATCAGTAGAGTTGCAATTCAAATTGCTTGGGTTGGACTGCAGGCCCAACCCAGGTCCAACCTAGGGCACTGATGGTTGGATCTGCCACATCATCCCTCCGTGTGGCATAAATAAGCTAGATTATGTAGTGAAGCTCCTTACTTGACTCGATCAGGAAACCCTCCCTCCTTTCTTCTCTCTCTCTCTCTCTCTGAGAAATGGATTGTGTGGATTGCATCTTACAATCATCTAACTTGGGTTTCATAAATGGTCTCTGGAACGAGTTAGTATTTCTTCATTCATTCCCATCCAACGATTTAGTACATAGCCTCTTGTTCCTGTACCATGCGTGCTCATATCCTAGCAGTTTATAATTAATGCATTCTGCCCAAGTTTTCAACTTAGATATCTTGTCTTTTTTAATATGTTCTCTTATGTTTCTTTAGGTACCAAATATCAATATCAAAGCGATTGGTACAGGAGGGAACCAATGCATGGAATTTGATCTCACAAAACAAACATCAAGTTCTTTGGGAGAATGCAGTCTTTGAAATTGAGGAGCAATTCATGAAAATCTCTGGCTGCAGTTCTAGGGGTCTAATGGAAGAGGTAACTCAATTTCTTGATTTTTGTCAGTTGAAGTGATTACTTTTTCCTTGATAAGGCTTAAGAACACCTGGAATTAGCTGCCTGTTTATGGTAAGACATCACTAGTTGAAATGACTTGGTGACCTCAAGTCTTTGACAAGTCTTGAATGTTTCTGTATTAGTTAATATATGAAAATGGCTGTTCATATGGAAACTTGGTAAGATGAGTTCACTAAATCAGTTGAAGGTAGACTAAGATAGCTTGGACATGTTCATGGAATAATACCTACTGCACCAGAGCCATAGGGATCTAAAAGATCTACCTACAACAAGGCAAAAAACGAAATTGATTGAGACAGAAAGACAAATTTAGAAATGTTTAAATAGAATTCATGTAGAACACTCAAGTCAGGATAAGTTGAACTGGAAGCCATGGAAGTTCATAGCTTTCAGGGTTCAACCACCACATTAACCTCTCAGAATTCCCAGTCTGGATATCCTGGTGGTTCCTGGGTTTAGGATCAATTATCTGGTCCTCAAAATATTGGCTGGGTAAACTTTTATTGAGTTAAGCAGTAATGCAAAGGGAGCTCCATTTGGCTCAGTAAGATTGTTACATGAACACCCTGATTTAGGACGGATCCTACATTTAACTTGGTGTCCATACGTGTTGGATGAATTTACACTTATGCTCACCATGTTGAAGCACCTTTCCGGACATGCATCTGATTCTGATTCCCATGTTAAAGTGCACTCAATACTGTTTAGTAAGCATGAAAAATTATTTGACTTGGTCAAGACAAAGTTGATTTTGTTTTGTTATCCAACAACTTATATAATGCATAGAAAGCTTTCTCAGTTTAATCTATCTTATTTCACAGGACTTTGAAGTTCTGCGAAGAATTTCTGGATGCAGGGACTACATGACCCAAGAGAACTTCGATAAGATGTGGAACTGGTTATACCCAGTAGCCTTCTTATTATCAAGAGATTGGATGAACGAAATGTGGGCTAGTACGTCACCCAGGTGGATAGAAGGATTGATCACAAAGGAAGAAGCAGAGTCTTCACTCAGAAGTCCAAGACTCCAAGAGCCAGGGACCTTCATACTAAGGTTTCCTACTTCACGGAGTTGGCCCCACCCAGATGCTGGTAGCTTGGTTGTTACTTATGTTGGTGCTGATTACTCCATTCATCATAGGCTGTTGTCCATTGATTATAGGTGTGTCTTTAATTAAACCATTGCAGTTTAGTTTTGTTTGATAACAAAGTATTCATCCATTAGAAAAAGCAGATGGGATGAAATATTGTTATCTCCTGTTTCACTCTCACTGATAAGTAGGGCGTCATCTGAATCCGCCATTTGATAGTTGTCAACCAGAAAAGCTCTTAGACTACAGAGTTTCCTCATCTGGATGATCTTTAACATATATTAGTCAATCAGGAAATATGGAAATAGGTCTATATGAGTTCACATCAAATGGTTAAAATTATTTGTTTTTGGTTTTAAAGACCTTTGTGGGTTCTATTTATCAAATGTTGGAATGTTGGGTTTCAATCTGTTTGTCTGTCTGTACAAGATTGTGGAGGTGATGGTTCTTTTTCTTTTGGTAGGAAAGTAGGTCAGTGTTCAGTTGTTAACAGGGTCAAGACAGAACTCTTAAGGCTGATTACAGGTCTGGAGCAAGAATCCTTTAAAACCTGCCAACTAACTAGATGGTAGCTTCAATTTTTTTTCCACTTATTTGGTGGTCTGTCTTGAAGAAACATGGAGAATATGTTTCCAATGCAAAATGTCTATATCAGAGTTGCGGCAATTTTCAGTTGCCCTTTGTCTCAAATTTCAATTGGTTGTATTGATTAATGGACCTAGATTAGTGAGAGAGTTCACATGCAGTGCTGGTATAATTGGTAATTAGGCAAATAGTCAACATTTCAGTTATCTCTGAAACATTCTCTATATTGATGAATCCATGAATTGGCTGCCTACTGTTTGGATTATCTGGATTTAGACCATGATTTATATGAAGGAAGCCTACTGCTATTCTATTTCTTTGACCAAATGAGGGCTTCTCATAATGAACCTGAACGAGTGTTGTATTTTTTGAACTATTTTCAGTCCAATAGGTGGCCTAGCATTTGGTGCCCATGCCTTCCATTTGTAGGGGAATTGAATACTTATTTAGAAATGTCTATATACATATTTTTGCATGCACAGTCTCTACCTGATATTCTCTTTATCCTAAATCATTTGTCACAGGGAGATGAGCAAAGGAACACTGCAGGACTTGATACTGGACGAACCCCGACTCTCACGATTGGGAAGGCAAGAGATATCTCAACTTCTTTTCTTTTTTTTTTTTTACTTTGTGGATTGAAACACTTGGACCCAGAATGGCAATTTGACTCATCTCCAAGTGAGGGAACCGGAACAGGAACAATGTAACTATATATATATATAGACGTAGCTATTATTTGGCTCATCTATGATGCATAAATTGTCTTGTACCAATATGTCTTTTCTGATGATTTGAAACTAATGATAATGCAGGGTAACAAGGGAAGTTAGCAAGTTTGCTTGAGACGAAGTCTGAATATCATTCCTCACTTGGCAAAGATGATTGAACATTGTACTTAGCCTTAGCCTTCCTTTTCCCGTTTGTGTATAATGTTTTTTTAATTGTATTTACCATCTTTCCTTGAACACATATTTGTCATGCACAAACAGAAAATAGCAGTTAAATAGAAATGAAACATTCTTTTCCTCTTTATTCAGATTCAGACCACGTAGGGAGCATGGGGCCCGCCCAAGTGACCGTATTATCAAAAACTCATAACCAGTGTTTGCAAAAGTATCTGACAGAACAATTGATTCAACAAGGATGCACACATCTAAAGGTGTTCAATTGTCTATACTTCTCAGTGGGTTGGAATCCGATTACCAGCACATTTCCCCTTTCTTGGCATATAGGAATAAAGTGATTATAAGTCAAAATAAAAATTTCTTCTAGCCTAAGATAATCTCTCTGCAACTGCAGCTATGAAATAATTTGAACTTGTCGGATGAGGGGTATAGCAAAAGAAATTGAAAATTTCTTGTGTTACCATAAGCATAGAATCAGTATTAGCCAAAGAAATTGAAATTTTGAAATATTAACTGATTCCAAAGGGTAGCCCACAACTAGTCTGTTATGGACTCGTGCGTAGGATTTCGTCACGGGTCGGTCCATAGGGAGAAAGCTTTGCTTTTCCTTGCGCCTTCCTTTGCGTAGACCCTATTGCAGAAACTGAATGGGTGATTTGTCCAAGAGACCACCCGAATTCTCCTAATGGGTGATTTGTCCAAGAGACCACCCGAACTCTCCTTACTCTTTTCTTGATTGAAAAACTGAATGCCTTTATTTCAATTCGTGGTTCTTTGAATAGGAGATTACAGAAGGAAATTCCTAATTAAACTCAAACTCCAACTTGAACTCAAACTCTTAATTACCTACTCCTAATGGTAACACAACTCTTACTTAAGATAAGATAAAGATAAGGATAAGGGATGAGGAATGGTGTAGCTGGCGGCGAGTTGGCGGGTAGAGCTGATGTGGTAAGATAAGTGTGGGCCCACCCTGATGAGTTGTCATGTGGGCCCCACCCTACTGCTGTTGTTGGCGGTGCGCGCATTTCGCAGTGTTGTTGTCGTGAGGTGCGTGCTGCTGCCTAGTGTTGTTGTCGTGTGGTGCGTGTTGCGCGCTGCCGGGCGGTGCATGCTGCGCGCTACCAGGCGGTGTGTGCGGTGCGCTGCCGGGCTGCTGTGCCACGCTGCCGGGAGGTGTGTCCATAACATCACACCCCTCCTGGTCTACAAGCTTGTCCTCAAGCTCGAATTGGGTGTCGAAAACACCCTCAAGGGAATCCTGGATGGCTTTGCCCTCCTGGATCGGGTTCCCATGGAGGGGGTTCATCCTCATCTTCCTCTTGTTTCACAATGAGGCATAAAAGTCTCTTGCACTTGTGCCCTGCTAAGTAGAGTTCGTCGCAATTAAAACACTGCCCCCTCGCCCTGCATTCTGCCATCTCAGCCTTGGACAAGTGCTTAATGGGGGTGTAACGACGTTGCTCCCTGCACTGGATGTCGATCTGGGATTGGTGCTTGTCTGTGGCTTCCGTTCTTGGCTGGCTGCTGAGTATGGAGCCACTCCGACTGGTTTCGGGGATGCCCATGCTGATGGAGGCCGCCCCATACTGACGGTCTCGTGGCTGAGTTGTAGTTTGCGTTCAAAGGCGCGTGCTAGGTTCATGGCTGTCACCAGGTTGGGAGGGTGTTGCATCTCCACGTCCACCCTTAGGGGTTCTGCTAGCCCTGCGGTGAACATGTCGACTTGTTGATCTGCGCGAACCAAGGTTGCTCTGGCGAGAAGGGTTTGGAACTGGCGTTGGTATTCTGCCACGGTTCCAGTTTGCTTGAGGTTGATTAACTCGCCCAACGGGTTGCTTGTCAACGGTGGTCCGAACCTGAGGAGACAATATGATTTAAACTGCCCCCAACTGAGACCGAGTTCTTCTTGCTCTAGTCTGTAGAACCAGAGCTGTGCCTCTTCTGATAGGTGGAAGGCGGCTAGACTGACTTTATCCTTGTCATCAGTACGCTGGTTATGGAAGAACTGTTCGCAGCGATACAGCCATCCTAACGGGTCTCCGGTGCCGCTGTAAGATGGAAATTCCAGCCGGCTATACTTGGGAATAACAGCGGCTGTTGGGGCAGCGGTCTATTGTTCGCTGGACGTCTCCGCCCCGTCTGGATGGCGATTGTTGGTGGTGGCGGTTCCCTCAAAGCTTCTTTCTTTGTTGTAGAGGAACGCTTCCAGCAGGCGTCGCAGCTCCCGGACATCATCCTTGACCTCACGAACCTCCAGGCTGGTTTCAGCGAGCCTATGCTCTAGCTCGTGGACCTTGGAAGACAGCGGCTTCTGTTCCCCCATGACGGTAGGCTCTGATACCAGAATGTTATGGGCCCCTGCGCGTAGGATCTCATCACGGGTCGGTCCACGGGGAGAAAGCCCTGCTTTCCCTTGTGCCTTCCTTTGCGTGCAAACCCTATTGCGGAAACTGAATGGGTGATTTGTCCAAGAGACCACCCGAACTCTCCTAATGGGTGATTTGTCCAAGAGACCACCCAAACTCTCCTCACTCTTTTCTTGACTGAAAACTGAATGCCTTTATTTCAATTCGTGGCTCCTTAAATAGGAGATTACATAA